TCCCTCCCTCCCTTCCTTTCTTCCTTCCCTCCTTCGCTCCCTCCCTCCCTCCCTTCCTTCTTTTCTCTTTCCCTGTCTCTTTTAGGTGGTGTCGGTCCTGGGGCTTGAAATCAGAGCCTGCCTGGGCATTGTCTCTGGACTTTCTCACTCAGGGCTAGTGCTCTACCATTTGAACCGCAGCTTCACTTACAGCCTTTTGCTAGTTAATTGGAGATAATCTCACAGACCTTCTTGCCCTGGCTGGCTTTGAATGGTGATCCTCGAATCTCAACCTCCTGAGTAGCCCCTGGTGCCAGGCGAGACATTTGCTTTTAAGAACTACCAAAGCACTGAGTATTAAGGGTACAGGCTTCATGGTGTGACATCAGTCATCAAAGCTTTTTTTTCTTGCTTGTTTTTACTTGGGCCTGAGGCTTCAGAATTGTTTCTAAACTCTCCCCAAGTAAGGACATCACTTTCTTGGTTTGAAAGACTTGACCAGGTAAGTGTAAGGGAATCATAAATACTTGGCTCCTGAGAAAATCCTGAATATTTTTCATGGACATTTGTATGATTTCTGATGTGGCAGGCTGTTCTAGATTTTATTTAAAACTGTTATTGGCATGTTTTGACAAGGGTAAGCTGAGCCATTGTATATGCTAAGATACTTGACTTTTTGAAGGAAGGAGGTTGTGAATCTTTTCAGAAATGAAAACTCCTACCTGTAAAGCAAAGCTGTTGATCTCTGATTTATCTCATTTGTAAATAAATCTAGGATTTGGGGGGTTATGCACAAAGTACAGTGAGGGCCTCGTGGCTGCTTTTAGAGGGGACCTTTGTAGTTTCTCTCCTTTTCCCTCTAGTGGCTAAGTTGTCAAGCCCACCTGCCTGGTACCCTACCTCATCCAGTGCTATGTTGATGCTTCTCCAGCCATCCACAGAGATGCTTCATCCAGGTTGTGACTTTACACAGACATTTGCAGGAGGAGATCCCAGGATGAATCAAAAGGCCACTCTCAACATCCACATGGCCAAACCCAACGTCTGGCCTCTGCTGAACCCCTGCTGGTTTCTAGGAGGTAAGGAGAGCAGGAAGCTCTGGGTCCTGGAATAATCCTTGTCTTCCTTTAAAGGAGGAATTCACATTTCATCTGCCATCAGTTAGTTGCCTCTCATCTGCAAATTCCTCCTTTTTTGTCAGTTCTAAGAATGTTTACCTAAGCCCTTTAAATCAGTGGGCTGATGCTACACTTTGTCTGTAAGGGGGCGAGAGCAACCTTGTAAAGTTTTGCTTCCTGGGTCTTTGCATGCTGTGTCCTGTACAGTGTGTGAGCAGCTGCCTTGTCTCTGCGTAGGGTGGTTTTGTAGCAGGGTACTTTCATGGAGATGCCTTCCCTTCCTGGGAAACGTTCTTTTTGGGACCTAGATTCCTAGAAAGCTGTGGGAAATTAATTTCTGACAAGTTCTACTGACATGGTAGACTTTCTCAGCCAATTAGTGAGCTACAACCATGCTCTCTCCAGCAAGGTTTGGACCCCGGCCCTCGGGATAGGAGAAGGAAGTGATGAGCCCTTACTTGGCCCCTTATGTCAGCTCTAAGGGCAATAGCTTGTTTGTGTTGGTGTCATGTTGTGATATGATGTATTGTAATGTGTTGTGTGGATTATTCATATTTTGAAACCCCAGTACCTTACAATATAGCTATATTTTGAAATCATGTCTCAAAGGAGGTAGGATGAGGCCATGGGCATGGAGGGGGTTATAATGTAATATAACTATTGTCCTTATAAGCGGAAAATAGGGAGCCAGATACCCACAGGGAGAAGACCATATGAAGACCATGAGAAAATGGCTATCTACATGTAGAGAAAGGCCTCACAGGAGATCATCAGTTGTGCTGATGTCTTAATCTTGGATGTCTAGTATCCTGAGCTGTAATAAATGAATTTCTGTTGTTCATGCCATCTGAACCTGTGGTACATTATTTGGCCGCCCTAGCAAACTTAATACATCCGTTATTCGCAAGTATATTATATCTACAATTGCTCTTTTCTCTTAGAGTTTTCATCTCTTTACCCAATCTCAGCATTCCAGGTTCCTGGCTATCTTAACCTTTCCCTGTTGAGATTATTGTATGTTTTCTCTCTTCTGATCAGACCGGGATGGATTCATCTCTGTATTCCTAATCCAGAAAACGCCTCTGTTCTGATTCTGTGGACTTTAGCAGTAGATATACCCAAATCTTCACTCAAGGTGTAACATAGTCTCCTGGGCCGGGACAAGACAGCCCCAGTAGTTGGGTGTTATTGTTCAGCTTTAATAAGGTTTTACTGTAGACAGTCAAAGCCCAGCCCAAATGGGGCTGAATAAATTCCTGAGCTTTTCTCTGCTTTTGCCTTCCCTCTTCCCAACAGAACATCAGGTCTACTTGCTCCAGATGTCCTGTGAGCAGCTTGCTCAGATCAGGGATTTCCAGACTACAGCCTACAGGCTGCCTGTGGCCTGTTTTTTATACAGCATACCAGCTAAGGATGGTTCTTACATTTTTAAAGGATGAGAAAAGAGAAAAGATACACAACAGGTACGGATTGGCGGTGGCTTACAAAGCTTAAAATATTTAATGTCTGATCTCTAATAGGTAATGTTTACAGGCTGCTATCTTAAATCAAAGACACAAATTCATCTCCAAAGCAGATAGTAACTTTCTGCTGCCAAGTGGTCTCAAACCAGATGTAGGTTTGTGGAATGACAGAAATTCTCTGTCTGTGCACAGTACTTCTTAATGACCCAGTGTGTATTAAAGAGCAGGTCAAACACTCACCATCAGTGTATCTGTCAGACAGGTGAGGATTGGTTGCCCTAGCCATGTGTGCTTACCTTCAGTCCCTTAAATGATCCCATTTTTGGTTACAGAGGGTTTTTCCTTCTTTCACTTTCTGACATCCAATGAAGCAGCAGAAGTTACAGTACAAGTCCAGTTAAACATCATCCATTTCAACCATTCCTGTTTTCACAAGTGTTGTGGATGTAGACTGCAATCACAGCTTTAGTCAGGAAAATACTGGGCAGATTTTTTTCCTTCAGTGAAATCAACCTTAATTCCTCAACCCTCTAGAATGAGAAGTAGCTCATTCTCAGTAGTTATTGAGACATCGTCTGCCCATTCCCAGGTAAGGCCTTGAGAAGTCTGGTACCTAGCAAAGCATCTGGAGTCTTGCTGCTTGGATCATATTTCAGCCTGGGAGTCTGCTGAGCTTGGAGTCATTGCTGTAAGTCCCCTCTCCCTGAATGCAGAATGAAGTCTGCACCCCCAGCCTAACCCTCCACTCTCTAGTAGTGTCCCCTTGTCATATCAACACTACTGGTTTCTTTTAACCTACCTAGGGGAATACTTCAGAGCTTTGGAGGTCAAAGGTCATCAATTAGTAGCCTACTAGAAAGATACTACCCTGTTTCATTGTTTTATTAAAAGGAGGTGGGGGCAGTTGGGAGTCAGCTTCTTGTATAAGTGCATATCTCTGTCTTCTCTGGAAAAACAGAATACTTGGTGATGCTGAGTACTGATTCCATATAGGCAATAGTTATCCCTGTTTTCACAAGTATCATAGATGTAGATTGTAATCACAGCCTTTGCCCAGGAAATATTACTTGTTTCCCTCGGGGCTCATGCTCACCCATTTTGGAGGGTCCTACAATGACCTATGACCTATGACTTCACACTGGCCTCTGTAAGCATTATGGTGTGAGTAATAGCCTTATTTCATTAATTCACTAAGTACTTATTGAGCATCTTTTACATGCTTGATCTTGTTATAGACCTTGGAATTATGGACCCAAGTATCCTGTTTTTGTTGGAACTTATATTTTGATAGAAATGACACATATTTTACAACAGAGGCGTTGATAGTCTCTTAGATGGGCAGCTGCTATGGAGACTATAAAGATGCTGGAGGGAATAGGTAATGAAAGTAATGAGCTCAGGGAAGAAACAAGTAAGGCACCATTTTTTTGGGGGGGTCCAGTCATGGGGCCTGAACTCAGGGCCTGGGCACTGTCCCTCAGCTGTTCAGCTCAAGGCTATAGTACTCTACCACTTGAGCCACAGTGCCACTTCCGGCCTTTTTCTTTTTGCTTATGTGGTGCTAAGGAATCTAACCCAGGGCCTCATGCATGCAAGGTAAGCGCTCTACCACTCAGCCACCTTCCCAGCCCCAAGGCACCATTTTTTTAAAAAGTGTCTTGATAAGGGGATAATTTTTAAGAATAGACTAAAGGAAATCATCACCTCACAAAGTCAGAAAAAAAAGATTTTTGTCTTCAAACTACCTGTGTTAGGACCTGTGGGCCCAGGGTATAATCAGAGATGTTCTTTTGGAACACTGCAGAACAAAATTATAGAAGCCACAATACCACGAGTTCTTATATTTGCATTCAACCCAAATTTTTACTTTCACTGCTGGGAACATTTTTAGTAGATAAAGCTAAAATTTAAATCTGGTCTTTACCTTCCCAGGGAAGTGCATGGACCCTATTTTAT